CATCCTGCTTTATAATGGGAATCTAAGTGATAATCACTTCTCCCAAACCTAGGTTATACCTGGTAGTAAATTAGATATTTCAGGAAACACGCTTTTAGGTTGCTGACTGACTGGAGTGCTGTTTACCTCCAGAGTAAAAAAGTACCGAATGGCTTCCTCATGATCTGAAATAAATGTAATGCCTCTTGAAGCACCTACGTTATGACTCAGGCACCAGAGCTGGGCTGCATAAAACCACTTACAGCAAAAAATAGATAAGCCAAGGAGTAATCTCTACTAACTGAGCAGATGGTCATCATTTTACTAGTCTGCACAGAAGGCTTTGTTTGGGAAAAGAGTCCACCCCATATAGTCAACTAAGTCCTTTTCATGGCTGCAGATAAAAAAACCAGTGGCCAATGAGTCACCTCTGACTCCTGGCGACCCCATGTGTGTTAGAGTAGAACCGTGCTGTGATAGCTTTGCTTTTTACCAGAGGTGATATCAAAGGAATTAAAACATAATTTTTAAAAAAATGGGTCTTAGGTTGAGTTCCCTATGAAGCAGACTGAGACAGAGATTTGCATGCAGGAGATTTATTGGGGAGTGCTTTTGGATCAACGTTTGTAGAACACAAGAAAGTGGGATTGGCAGAGGGAGGAGTTTAACTGTGATGCCATCACATCAGAGGCCTCAGCAGATCCCATGGGGAGCTCTGGAACTCTGGGAGCCCTTTAGAGTCATCCAGCTTTGAGGCACAGAGCCGAATCTTTATAGCCTCACATCAGACCAGTCACTGCATGCTGACTGCCCCAGGGAGGGGGCGTGACCATGGGGAAGGCTGCCTGTTCAGCTGAAGGCAATTTTCCCAGGGAGAATCAGCTGTGAGCCATCAGCCCCCCACACTCCCAACAGAAGGCAAAATGAGTATTACCTCAGTCCTGAAGGGGGATTTGGGCAGCACACCACAGCATCCACCCCAGCAGCCAATACAGATGCCTCAAAAGGCGTATCTGACCTGTGAGTAACCATCCTACCTAATCTAACTCTCACGCCATTAACACGCAAGCTCTGTGTAAACACTGGTAGCCAAAGGCCTAGATTTAGCCCATACTGCTTTGTCCGTAACAAGTATTCATAAAACTGTAATAAAAGCTGCAAATAACCTTAGATGATTACTAACAAATTTATTTCCACAATATAAACCATATAACAAGAAGCTCCCTGACTGGCTTTGCTATGCCTAGAAGCCTAGGTATTTTTCATGAAGATAATGGCCTGAGGACATTAGGCGCCTCTCTGAGGAGAACTATAACACAGCAACCAGTGAAACAAAATTTAACATCAAAAAGTTTTAGAGTAACTCCAAAACATTGTAATTTTGTTTTAAGTCACATTTCTTTAATAACATTAAGTTAGTATCCCATTGTGCTAAGTAATGAAAAAGGAGTTAGAGGTTGTAGGTTTCTTCCTGAGCCTGCTTCTTAATATATGCCTGATAATCAATTCATTTATTCTTTCAAAACACATCTACTGGGAACCTTCCACTGCAAGACACCATGCTTGGGACTGAAGGCAGAGAGATGAATAAGAAGCTCATCATGTAATAGAGAAGACAGACACGTGAACAGGTCATTTAAATCAGCCACACATTCATTCACTCAGCAAACGTATCTAAGCATCAACTATGTGCCAGTCCATAAGCAAGACAGACACAGTCCTTGCCTTTCTGGGCTTACATCCAATGTGATAAGTATTAAAACAGATGACTACAGCAGGCAGTGGAGTCTTAGCCTACCTAGAGGAAGGTGGGGGTGGGGGAGGCACGGAAAGCTCAGTAACAGGAAACTGAATGACGACATTAAGGATAACAATAATCTTCACTGCATGCTTAAAATGTGCCAGGCTCATATATTAATTTACTTAACTTGCAAATCAATCCTATGTTAATCCATTAATAGTGTGATCATTTCCCTTTTACAGATGAGGAAACTAAAGCAAAGAGAGATTAAATAGCTTAACCAAGTTCACATAGGTGGTAAGCAGCAGGCCTGGGGTTCACAGAAGAGATCATTTTGGAACGGAGCCTTGGAAATTGAATAGAAATTCACCAGATAGACACAAGAAGGAGGGGCAGCGGGGTTAAGAGCATTCCAGATGCAGGGAATGGCAAGGACAAAAGCAAAAACATGGTCAGAAGCCTCCAAGTGCAGCCAGAATGCCAGATGCTTCCGGAGGAGTAACAAGAGTCTAGGCCAGAAAAGTGGGGGGCAGGGAGGAAGGAGGACAGGCAAAGAAATTTGTCGTGTGCCACACAAGGCAGAGACTGAAGGAATGTGGCCGTGAGAATGGCATTGTCAAACGTGTGTTTTAATAATATTGATTAAAATATTAATACGAATAAAAATGGCCAGCATTCAAGGAGACCATCCTATAAGCCAGGCATTATCTCACCTAAGCTTCACCACATTTTATAAGTGAGGAAACTGAGCCGTAAAGGTAGAACATAGATTGTTCAGGGTTCCACTGCTTATGAGTTACAGAGCTGGGATTCAACACCGAGGAAAGGTGACTGCAAAGCCAGTGCTCTCGGCCGCCTGCTTTCTGAGCCACGGCAATCACCACCCTCCACCTCCCCCAGCAACTCGGGCAGCAGGGCAGGGATGTGGAAGGGCAGGGAGACAGCAGGCAGGGCATGATGGAGAAACTCACGCTCCAACCCAGGGGACAGGTGATGTGGCCCTTAACTAAAGCACTATCTGTGGACTAGAGGAGAGGAGGGGATTTGAGAAATATGCATACAGAGGTAGAAGTGGAGAAGTAAGATCTAGAAGTGAGAAAGAAAGAAGAATTCTGGATAACCACCAGCTGTTTGAAGAGATGGTGACTCCATTAATCAAGAGAATGGATAGAAATAAGCACTGAGAGGAGTCCCTGGGTAGGACAAACAGTTAAGGCACTTGGCTGCTAAGCAAAAGGTCGGAGGTTTGAGTCCACCCAGAGGTACCTTGGAAGAAAGTCCTGGCTATCTATTTCTGAAAAATCAGCTATTGAAAACCCTAAAGAGTAAAGTTCTACTCTGACACACGGGGTCACCATGCGTCAGAATCTACTTGATGGCATCTGGGTTTGGTTAGGCACTGAGAGGTGGGCAGGGGAATAGGGGGTCAAGGCCTCCTGGGTGATGGATGGAGGGGTCCAGTGGGCAGCTGGCTATGTAGTTCTGGAACTGAGAAAAATAATCAGCTGCGAAGGTCCAGATTTGGCCATAATCAGCATGCTGAAGACATGAAAGTGGTTGAATTTGCCTAGGGAAAACAACGTTCAGGGCACAAGAAGATGATAATGGAAGAAACCTAGAGAACCCGAACCATTTAAAGAAGAATCTATTTTCTCATCTGTAACAATAGAGAAAAAAAAAAAAAAATAGCTGCCTTCCTTAGAAACCTACCAGGAAAGGGGCTTCTTTTTCAGGTAAAGCTGTTGTCCTTAGTGTTATTTCTAGAGAAAAAAAAAACAACTTATTTTCATCCACATCTGAGGTTTTGAATACTTCTAGGTGGTGTATTTCTATTAAATAAAACAGGCTAATTGAATGTTATGTGTGTTTAATAATAAATAAAAATAGTACTAACAGTTTATCAGAGTCAGAGCCAACGATCTGCTTGGCCCCTCGGAACATCCGTAGAAGCTGTCGGTAATTTCACTTTGAGCATGAACACGGTACCCTTTGAATGGAAGCTCCGCATACTTGCGATGCTCCCAGGACATACCATTTTCTAGCCCTATTTCTGTTAGCTTCTCACCCTTCACCCTCTAAAATATCACCTTGGGGCTTATCAGCCTTGTCAGGAGTCTATACAAAAGGCGATTTCCCCAGCTTCTTTCTTTCGAAAAGAAGGGAAACTTCCCAGCGTTAACATGTGGCAAAAAGAGAAAAAGCCTGTTTGGTCTGCCCTCCCCGGCTGCTGCTACCTTGCAGTTTATGACACACAGATAGAGGGAGGTCTGAAGAAATGAATAAGAGGCAGAGAGCAATTCCATCCGCGTGGAAACCAGGAGTCCCACGGCGCGGCCGCTCTCCTTACTTTCTTTCCTGTGCGGTTGCTTGCGTGTGACTCCGCGAGAGGCTGGTGAATGATTTCTCAGTGCGTGCCTCATTGAGGCCAGCTGCACCCTGAGGGAGTCACTCAGCGCAGCGGCTGGCGGAGGACACCCGCACGGACCTCGCTCTACGCTCGCCTGCGGTTTGAGAAGTCAGCAACAAAAATCAAATTACTATCATATTATGCTGGTGGAAGCTCTCGAAGAAGGGCCTCTACCCCGGCTTAAATACTATGAGAAATGCAGCAAGTCGTACGACAGCGAAGTGTGTCTGGTGTGTGGACCCTGAAGATAAATGTAAGTTCTTACGCTGCTCTATTTTACTGCTGTGTAATTTTCTTTCCGGCTTGAAGTCATGCTTGGCCAAGATGCAATCATTTCCATGAGAATTTCTAATGTGGAAAGTTGGCTGCTAATCTTTGCTTACGGCTTTTCTTTCTTTAATTAACTAAGCAACATAACACCTGCTGAAATTCCTGACTGCAGCTGTGACAATTCAGCTTAATACAGACTGAGAACTATATAACCCAAAGTACATCCAGTTACTACGGAATTAACACTGGATGTATGTATTTTTAATTGACTCTGCTGATGTAAAATGCGCACAGCCCCGCAGTTCTGGACTGCATGCTCTTTCAATACTGCTGTGGTTAAGCTAGTGTGAGCCGCATAAGCAAAAGAATGGGATACAGCTAAAAGAGATTCTTGGCAGTTACAAAACTTTTCTTTTTTGGCCAGGACCACGTTTTTCTCCCCGAATGCTCAAAACTCTGCAGCCTCTATGCTAAAAGTTCATTCTGCCTTTTTCACCTTGCTTGGGAGGAAACACAGAACCAAGCAGTGGACTCTGCTAAAATTGAGAAGGAAGAAAACATAGAGAGCGATTGCAGGTTTTTAACTCTTCTTGTAATAATGGGAGGGGAGGAGCCAGCAAAGGAACCCAGCTTCACTGTGACAGAGTGTGGGGACATACAGATGGATGGTGAGAAGAGGTTATAATTTGTTCATTTTTCTGTATTTCATCTGTGGAAAGTTCTGGCTTAGCCATGGATATTCTTTGTGATCAAAACACTTCTTTGAGCTTGACTCCGAACTCCTTAAGTCAATTCAATGATGACACAAGGCTCTACAATCACGATTTTAACCCGGGAGAAGCTAACACTTCCGATGCATTTAACTGGACAGTGGACTCTGAAAATCGAACAAACCTTTCCTGTGAAGGCTGCCTCTCACCACCGTGTTACTCCTTACTTCATCTCCAAGAAAAAAACTGGTCTGCTTTGCTGACAGCTGTCGTGATTATCCTAACCATTGCTGGAAACGTACTCGTCATCATGGCAGTGTCCCTAGAGAAAAAGCTGCAGAACGCCACCAACTACTTCCTGATGTCACTTGCCATAGCTGATATGCTGCTGGGCTTCCTTGTGATGCCCGTGTCCATGCTAACGATCCTGTATGGTGAGTGGCATTAGTTCCCCAGCTGTATCCACACCGGTATTGACAGCATGTGCATGCCATTAGCAGACCAGCAGGGGCTCAGGGGACAAACTGTAATTGGAAGGCTTTCGTTATAGACTAGGGTCCACCATGTTACTCTACTTACTGAAATTTTACCCTTACAATGGGATTTCACACATGAAAAATTCAGGCAACATATTATCTGTGATCACTGAAGAGTTTTGTGCTTTAAAACACGTGCATTTTAGGTAGAGACAGAATTATAAAGTCTTGTGCTTTAAAACACGTACATTTGCTGCAGAAATACTAATAAGTGCCCAATACAGTCATAAAGCAATAACTTACCTGTCCTTTGGAATCCTCTTGATTTTCCCTCCTTTGTATCCCCGTACAAATCTTCGGGGCTTCAGGACAGAAGCATTTTATCTTTGCCACACAGTTTTCAGCACTTCTCAAGGAGTGAGAAAACCTTCCCAATTACCTTGAGACATTTGCAGAGGGAACATCATTGGTGCAGTGGGTTTAATGCTGAAATATGCTGAGTCTCCATTAGAATAAATGAATTACTCCAGTTTTAATTGTTCCCTGCCCAAAGAAGCTAATTTGGAAATACGCCTTTGAATTATACCCTCAACTCTTTTAAAAATGCATATGCATAAACTCATCCCGTCTGGTTTGGAGGAGGATGGAAAACAAATGGAAAGAGATTAATCTTGCTTTCTTCTCAACAGAGTTTGAAACAGTCAAACCTCTCAGCAAGTCAGCAAACACTGGGACGGCTTCAGCGGGGAGCAGAATGTGATATTGTTTCCAAACTATGAGTAATACAGCCAGATTCTTCCTTAAAAAAGAGAGAGAATACGGAGACTACTGACACACACGTAATCAGCTGTCACCCCGAGCTTAGAGACAGGTTATGAGAGGTATCTGTAAGAGGGGATTTTCTGGCCAAATCTTAGATGGAGGCTAAAAAATATCAACCCAGCCCCGCGAAGTGTGAAGGGGGAAGAAGGTGAGCGACAGAGAGCAGCCAGCAGTTTACGAAGGCCAGCCCCCGCTTGCCCGCTCAAATACCACCACCAGGATGATTTCACTAAATCGCCTGTTATCTCCCGGACATTCTAAACTGGTTCTGGCTTCCCAAAACCCTGCTCCCTTTGGAGGCAAACTTCAGAGGGCAGAGGATGTAACTCAGAGCCCGGCACGTCCGGAAACCAAAACCCTAGCGAGAGGGCGGGGTGATCCTGAGCGACGCGAGTCAGCGGGTGTGGACAGGTTCGGCGTGTAACGGCGCCCCCTGGCGGCCGCCGCGCTCGGCGAGCAGCGGGTTCCTGCCCGGGGTTCGCCTCTTCAGGGGTTTGCTCTCCTACCTCCCCCACTGCGGGGCGTGGAGCCCTCTCCTCCGAGGAAGTACCCCCGTCTTCATCCCCGCCGCAGAAACCGCAACTGAGGCCCGCGGCTCCCTCCTTGCAGAGAAAAGTCCTCCAAGGGCCAAGATCAGTTCCGAACAGGCAGAATGTGGCTTCCTCTCAGGCGCTACTGAGGAAAAGGGTCTCGTTTTAGCTCAAGCTCTTTGCAAATAATCAGAGTGGAAGGCACTAGCTAAGTTAGGCTTATATTCTGCCCTTTAGGTTTCTAAATATCCACGTCGGCAGTTTTGGTAGACAGAGCACGTTTGCGTATGGAAGGTCTGCTCAGCTTTGTGGCTCTGCATTTTCAGGTAGAAAATGTGGTCTGTAGAAAATTTTCCTTCTCACCTACACATACATCGAGCACCATTGCTTACACTTACCAAAACTAATTAAGGTTTATATGAACGTTTGAACGTTTGAGCCCCCTCCAAAACAAACAAAACCAGGACAATTTGCTCATGCCCATAAGACATATTCTATCTTCCTGAAACAGGTGACCTCCTGCCTGTTCTCGTTGGAATCTGGGAAGCTTTAAACCACCTGGATGCTCACAGTCCAAGTCCTGCTACCATCCTCCTACCGTCCCAACGTTGTTGTCTCATAGCGACCCTATAGGACAGGGTCGAATTGCCCCATAGGGCTTCTGAGGCTGTAATCTTTACGGACGTAGACTGGCACATCTTACTCCCGCCAAGTGGCTGGTGGGTTCCAAGATCCGGTTAGCAGCTGAGCGCTTTAACCACTATGCCACCAGGGCTCCCTTTCTACCCTGTAGAGATTGTGATTTTACTGGCCTGGGGTTTGATCAATGGTTTAAAGCTCCTCAGTCGATTCTAATGTGCAGCGAGGGATTAAACGGCTGTGGCTCTCCAAGTGTGGGCCTTGAACAGCTGCATCAGCAATGCCTGGGAATTTAGAAATGCAAATTATCCAGCCCTACCCCAGACCTACTGAGCAGGAACTTGGGGATGGGGTCTAGATGTCTGTTTTAAAAAGCCCGCTGGTTAAGAGCTACAGCTGCTGACCTTGGCTGCTAACCAAAAGGTGGCAGTTGGAATCCACCAGCCGCTTCTTGGACTCCATGCGGCAGTTCTGCTCTGTACTATAGGGTTGCTAGGAGTCGGAATGGACTTGATGGCAGCGAGTCCAGGGGATTGTGATGCCTGCTAAAGTAGGAGAACCACCGCCCTGAAACAAAAGCGTTTGTGCTTTTCATCAAGGTTTTCTTCAGATTTTTCCCACAACCCGTAATTTAAGTTTAACACCAAAAAGTAGTGTTAGGTAATCCCGTATTTTTCATTTTTACGAATAGAGATGTAGTCCCAATCTGGATTTTCAGTCACTCATTCATTGACACCAATACCATTTATTGAGAGACTACGGTGGGCCTTCACTATGTGAAGCTAAGCAGTTATAACAATGACTAAGGGATGGAGAAATAGAAGTGAATAAGCAATAACAGTACAATTTAAGAGGCGCTTCAATAGAGAAGCCCAAAACCCTTCACAAATTCTGACCTAAGTCATTAAAAATAATAGTAAAAGTAGGCTTTGCTAGGCAGAAAAGAGAGAGAGAAATGCTGAAGAGGGAGCAGGGTGAGTTAACCCCACCACGTAGACATAATTTCAGCCACTAGAAATGTTCACACCTTGTACCCATCAGCTCATGGACTCACTAGGTGTGTAGAGTAGAGCTGTTCCATAAGGTTTTCAAGATTGTGACCCTTCGGATACAGATCTCCAGACCTTTCTTCAAGGCATCTCTGGGTGGGTTCGAACAGCCATCCTTTCAGTTAGTAGTCAAACATTAACCATTTCCAGGGTCTCCGTGAGTCAGAATCGACTCCACAGCAATGGATTTGGTTTTGAGTTTTGGTATTTATCAGCCAGTGTACTTTTAGTATAGTTAAGTACAGTTGCTATTAGGCTTTTTTTCAAATATTGAAAATACCTTGCTGCCCATTGCCACCTATGCAAGATGGAAACGGTTGTCACAAGGTATAATCCATACTCTGACACAAACCTTCTGCCTGGTAGGGTACCGGTGGCCTCTGCCAAGCAAGCTGTGCGCAGTCTGGATCTACCTGGACGTGCTCTTCTCCACCGCCTCCATCATGCACCTTTGCGCCATCTCACTGGACCGCTACGTCGCCATCCAGAACCCAATCCATCACAGCCGCTTCAACTCCAGAACAAAGGCCTTTCTGAAAATAATTGCTGTTTGGACCATCTCGGTCGGTAAGTGGGAACCACGTTTCACGGTCTTACTCAACATGATGGTTCCTTGCTTTCCATGTGGAGACTTGTTCTGTGTGTTGCACTAAAACCTGACATTCAGAATGTATTGTTTTGTTTGTTGCAAGATATGTTACAATGTAGTAATTATCAGATTTGCTTGAGGAAAGAAAATGTCTGTTTATGGCACTGGCTGACAGCATAAGTTTGTATTACTTTGCACAGGTAGGAATATAGACATCAATAGAGACGAAATCCAGGATAACCGTGCCATAGCCACTTCCTAAGACGTTTTCCTCATCTCTTACTTTCAAACTCACTGCTGTAAATCCTGGGCTTCCCAGAGACCTCAGCCTTTGAAAACCACTGGACTTATGGGCAATATGAGGATGGATCAGTTGCCATCAAGTCAATTTCAACTCATGGCAACGCCATGTGCGTCACAGTAGAACTGTGCTCCATAGGGTTTTTGGTGGCTGATTTTTCAGCAGATCACCAGACCTTTCTTCCAACGCACAGCAGGGCAGACTTGAACCGCCAACCTTTCAGTGAACGACCGAGTGCATTAGTTGTTTGCATCAATATGAGGATGTTGTTGTTACGTGCCGTCGAGTTTGCTCTGACTCATGGCAACCTTATCTATAACAGAACAAAGCGTTGCCCAGTCTTGTGCCATCCTCACAATTGTTGGTACGTTTGAGTCCATTGTTGTGGTTATTGTGTCAGTCCATCTCATTGAGGGTTCCCCTCTTTTCACTGACCCTCCACTTTATAAAACCTGGTCTTTCCTGATGACTTGTCCAAAGTAAGCAAGCTGAAGTCTTGCCATCCTCGCTTCTAAGGAGCATTCTGGTTATATTTTTTCTATGACTGGCTTGTTCGCTCTTCTGACAGTCCTGTTGTTGTTAGGTGCCGCTGAGTTGACTTTGACTCATAGCGACCCCATGTGACAGAGTAGAACTGCCCCATAAGGTCTTCTAAGGCTGTAATCTTTTATGGGCACAGATCACCAGGTCTTTCCCCAAGGAGCCGCTGAGTGGGTTAGAACCCCCAACCTTTTGGTTAGCAACCAAGCACTTAGCTGTTGCACACCAGGGCTCCTTCTGGCAGTCCTACAGACTGCTATACTAGAGAATACCAGGCCTCCTGGGCTAGAGAGAGGGATCCGGCACTGCAGTTCTCAGGGACAAGATGAGGATAGAGGAAGGTGGCAGGGTTTGCTCAGGGGCCAGACGTCTCAACCTGCCCAGGGCATCTGCAGTCCTTCCTCCTGTTAGGACTCCACATGCCAGAGGTTTTCAGCCCACTTCCATTGGGGTGATTCCCCACATTTACCTCTGGCCAGTACTGAGCTTCTGTTACACACCAGACAGCCACGAAAGCCCAGGTGATGGAAGCGAGGGCGGCAGCTTCCTGGCAGCTAAGTCAATTGCACCTGTCACTTCAGCAGGCCTGATTTGTAACCACAGATTCCCTGAGATTCATTGCAGAGTCACAGAGCTTTTCAGGAAGAAATGTTGCTCCTGCTTAAGGCTGCATGGGGGCCAGTATCTGCTTTGCTGTTGTTGTTAGGTGCCGTCAAGTCGGTTCCGACTCGTAACGACCCTGTGTACAACAGAACGAAACACTTCCCAGTCCTGTGCCATCCTCACAGTTGTTATACTTGAGCCCATTGTTGCAGCCACTGTGTCAGGCCATCTCGTTGAGGGTCTTCCTCTTTTTCGCTGACCCTCTACTTTACCAAGCATGATGCCCTTCTTCAGGCACTGATCCATCCTGATAACATGTCCAAAGTATGTAAGATGTAATCTTGCCATCCTCACTTCTAAGGAGCATTCTGGCTGTACTTCTTCCAAGACAAATTAGTTCGTTCTTTTGGCAGTCCATGGTATATTCAGTATTCTTCACCAACACCACAATTCAAAGGCATCAATTCTTCTTCGATCTTCCTTATTCATAGTCCAGCTTTCACATGCATATGAGGTGATTGAAAATACCATGGTTTGGGTCAGGCGGATCTGCTAGTGTGAGAGAATATGAGATTTGATGGCAGGCTTGAAATCAGGTAGTTATGAGTCTACCTACAGGTCTGTGATAAGAATAATACAAATGAATATAGCAAACACAATAATATGGTATCTTGACTTTTTTAGTTCCTATTGTTTACTTTGCTGCTAAACCTACAATCTGCAGAGTAGGTGGGCCCATTTTACAGATGAGGAAACTGAGCTTCAAAAAGTGAAGTGACTTGTGCAAGCTCTCACAGCAAGGATTTTGTTTGATTATCATGGGAACACTAACAAATGACACTTGTATGATCTGCATATTTTGAAAGCAATCTTGTCTACTTTCTACTTTGAACTTCGCCTTGCAGCGTGAGGAGGACAGAACGGAAGATCTTTTTTTTTTTTTTTTTTCCCTAATTTGCTGTATTAGGGAACCCACACAGAGCGTTTTTGTCTTGCTAGGTTACATCTCCAATTAGCAGCAGGGCTAGGACTCTATATTTCTGGCGCCAAGCCCTGCTCTTTCTGCTGGGTGCACCACCTCCCTTCGGAAACAGTTTTTGCTTCAAGGAAATGCTTGTGCTTTCTGGGTCTGTTCGATCTTGGGCTCATTCTACTGGGAGCAAGAGAATGAAAGCCCAGCGGTTCCCAATCCCAGCTGCACAAGAACCCCCTGGGGAACATTCTGATTTAATTGGTCCAGGGTGAGGCCACGTGATTCTAAGGTGCAGCCAGGGTAAAAGTCCACTGAGACAGATTGTCAGAGAGGGAGATGTGATTAACAAAAGAGGGCCGGGAATAATGCATATGAAATAAGCAAAGCTATCGGCAGATGTACTCTAGTCTTCCTCCATACACTGTCCTGACAGTGGGACACCTTATCCCAGCCATGTGGACTCCCCCATCTTACCAAACCCTTTGCCATTGAGTCAATTTCAACTCACTGCACCCCATGTGGAACAGAGTAGAACTGCTCCACAGGATTTCCTTGGCTGTAATCTGAAAAAGAGCAAATCACTAGGCCTTTCTTCTGTGGTACCATGGGTGGGTTGGAACCACCAACCTTTAGGTTAGTAGTCACACTCAAACTATTTGTGCCACATAGGGGCCTTTTCCCCAGTCCCTGGGTGATGCAAACAGTTAAGCGCTTGTCTACTAACCAAAAGGTTGGTGGTTTGAACCCACCCAGGGTGCCTCGGAGGAAAGGTCTGGTGATCTCCTTCCCCCATCTTAGTCAAGCTTAATTTTAGCAATAATAGTAATGGCTAAGTTTCTGAGTGCCTACTTCAGACCTAGTAGTACACAAAGCACTTTACGGAAAATAAGCTGCAGAGAAGTAAGATTGCAGAGAATGATATAGCTCATAAGCAGGAGTCAACCCAGGTCAATCTAACTCCAAATTCCATGTCCTTTCTACTGTGCTACCTGCCCAATGAAGCAGTCTGCCTCCCGGCTCTTTCCAGCTGTCACCCAGGGGGCGGGCAGGCGGGAATGGCTGTGGATGTGCTATTCAAGGGTCATCATTTATCCATTGGGCCAAGAAACTTTTAAGTCTTGTCTTAGTTATCTAGTGCTATAACAGAACCACCACAAGGGGATAGCTTTAATAAACAGAAATTTATTTTCTCACAGTTTAGGAGGCTAGAAGTCTGAATTCCGGGCGCCACCTCTAGGGGAAGCCTTTCTTTCTCTGAGGGCTCTGAGGAAAGGTCCTTGTCTCTTCTCAGCGTCTGTTTCTGAGTTCCTTGGTGATCTTCACGTGGTGTGGCATCTGTCTTCCCCATCTCTGCTTGCTTGCCTGGTTGCTTGCTCAAGCTGCTCTTTTGTGTCTCAAAGGAGATTTACTTAAGACACACCCTACACTAATACACACTCATTAACATATCAAGGAAAACCCATTCCCAAATGGGATTATAACCATAGGCATAGGGGTTAGGATTTACAACACATGTTTGGGGGGGGTGGGGACACAATTCAATCCATAGGATGTATCTACTGTGTGCTTGGCACTGTATATACTAGTATGACTAAGATATGCATTCAAAGATCTCACAGGGAAGTAAGGAAACATATAAGAAAAACAAAACATATAGGGCTCTATACCAGACATCTGAGTGGTGCACGGCAGGGGAGGGCATAAGTGGTGTGATGGTTATCTTTGTGTGTCAACTTGACTGGGCCATGATTCTCAGTGGTTTACAGTTATGTAATGGTGTAGTTATCCTCCATTTTGTGATATAATATAATCACCTCCATGATGTGATCTGATGTGATCAACCAACTAGTTGTAAGGGGAGTTTCCTTGGAGGTGTGGCCTGCATTTAATATATATGGATATTCTGGCAAAGCTTCCTGGCTTTTGCTCGCTCTGGATCCTGCATCCAGCTCATCATCATCTAACCTCTGGTTCCTGGGACTTGAGACTGCAGCCTGCTCTATTGCCTGAATCTTGGATTCGTCAGGCTCGATAGCCTGTGAGCTAGCAGCCTGCCATCTAATCTGCTGATCTTGGGTTTATCAGCCCTTGCAGCCTCCAGCCTGACACCTGACCCACAGACTTGGGACTTGCCAGCCTCTATAGCCGTGCTTCACTGGTTTTGCTTCTCTAAAGAACCCAGCCTAAAATGGGTGGTAAATGTAAAAAAGAAAAAGTCAATTCTAATCAAGGAACTGAAAAGGTTTAAGGCAAATATTCTCCTGTATTTCCTTCTAGTTTTTCTGTTTCTATTGTTATTTTGTTTGTCATTTGGTTTTGGGGTTGTGGTTTTTGTTTTAATTTAGAATCTTAGTCCAGCTAGAATTTATTTTTGTATATGGCCTGACTTGTTTTACTCCACCAGTCATTAAAGTCTTAGCAACATCTATCGATATAATCACCGTCTTTTCCCCCTTTAGTTTGTTGATATACTCCAATTTTTGATAGATTTTGAAGTATTTCAAAAGAGTAGTTCACTAGTCTTACATTCCTGGGAGATATCCATAAGTAAAATTGGACTT